TGACTTGATAATGATCTCTATATACAGTATTATATAGAGTTCATTATGATTATTTACATATTTGCATAAATAATTATATATAAGGACATAAAAAATAGGGTCTGTGTATAGGAACTTTTGGGACACCCTGTATATACAAAACTGCCTTCCTGAAATTTTTGCTTAACCTACATAAGGTAGATTTAGACTGCCGTTTTTTGTATTTTTTAGGTTTTTTATTTTATTTTTTTTTTCTTGTACAAGTATATATTGCTTCGCCGGCGATCATCAAAATTCTATAATTTGATTGGCCGATAGTCACATGATTTCTATCCGCCTCCTAATTTTGACTGTATAATAGATTTTTTTATGGGCGATACTAGAACGGCTTCACAGAAATTCACATAAAGCCGTCAGGTCAATTGACCGGACCAAACCCAACTTAATAATGTCAGTTGATCGGATGTGTCTATTCGGAGTTCAAATTGCAAATACACAGATCACAAATAATATCACACATCACTATATATACCGTAAAACTTTTGGTTCATGTTAATTCGGGTTTTGAATTTACAACCGGTTCCGACCTTCAATTTTCGCAACGATAATGTTTTGCACAGGGCTCAACTGTATGTATGCCAAAAATCGATGATCAAATACAAAATGATGTAACAAGTCACGGGAAAGGAAATGCATCGGACTGAATAATGAATTGGATAGGATTTTTTTTTCCCTTACACCGTCCCACTATCATAGTATAGCTTAAAATGAACTGTGGTGCAAACTATGATCCATTTTGTAAGTAAATTTGCCTTCAAAACAGTGTAGGGATATGACACGTATAATCAATGAATGGACAATTGATATCATTTTAAACTCTTCACCGGACATTGGAAAACTACTTCATGAAAATGCAAAACCAATTATAATATATTATTATAGAGAATAAAATAAACAGTTCATCTATATGTAATTTTCGAATGCCGTATCTAAACAATTCAATTCTGCGTCATAAACATATACAGTTAAAGAGAGAAAACGATACAAATGCAAAGAAAAATAAAACGAAAAAATAAAGCGGAATAGAAAACGTCGCGTGGATGGTCCACCACCAGGTCTGCTAGTGCTTTTTTCTGAATTGTTTTTAGCAAATAAAACAAATTTTAAGCAATCCCATCTACAATGATCCGGTTTCTTACCTTGTAAAGCGCACACGTAATTTCTCGAAACCTCATTGGATTACACCGATGAAAACGCAAAAAAAAAAAAGTCAGTTTTGTAAACATTAGTCAGATTTTTTTTTCTTTTCATTTTTTTCATTTTTTTTTTTTTTTTTTTTTTGGCTCTTTTTTTTCATTTTTTTTTTTTTTTTTTTTTTTTTTTTTCTTCTCTTGTTTAAAAAGGATCATCGACACAAGCCGCAAGGATAGAATCGTGCAAGCTTTCATTTATCTCAATTTTTTCTATAAAATTTCCTTTTTCCACTTTTTTTCCTTTTTTTCAGCTACATAAATTCGAGGATATATTGGACATCCTATCATTAGATGCTACTTTTTGTCCAGAGGTTTTAAGTTTCTTAGCATTTGAGTCCTAAACAACAAATTGCAAGTTAGAAAAGTATATATAACAGTTATAAAGCTTCATTTCATACCTTCTCAGTAAGTCCGACACGTTTTCGTTTCTTTGAGAAGTCTTCTCGTTTCTTCTGGCCATCTTCAAATACCTCAGGAGGTAATTCCGAACTAGATATTACAGAATCGTGGCTGTAGAAAATGTACGGTGATTTTACGAACCTGAAAATCTGATTCATAATACCTTTTTACGTGTTTGATATGAATGCCCATAGATTTTTCGTCATATTTGTCCCAAACTTTTACCAATTTTATGAACTCTTGAGTCGGCCATGAAATATTTAATTGTCTTGGTGATTTTGTGCCAGCTAAAATTATAATTATTAATTAAAGTCAGGAAATTTGGTAACTTAAAGCGAATGATAAAAACCGCGAATTGAACCTACGATCTCTAGGATTGATATCTAATCCAACATAGAAGGTAGTAGTATATATATCACGAACAGTAGCCGGTTCTGTACCATTTTGTGATAATTCCGTGCTATTTTTATCACTGGTTGACGTTGAATCAAAAATTCCGTGCATCACATCAGTCGCCATTTGGTCACTTGTACAATGATAAATTTTATCAAACCCTTTTACAAAAGGATGTGCCAATGCAAGATTCTCTACACTTTCCAGTTTTGATACTAGATGACGGATTCTAGATTCTACCATACCCGACCTAATAATCACGATATAATCTTCAGTATCAATAAAATTGTTAATTATTAAAAAATACCAACCATTTCAACTGTCTCTCAGAAGAATCGGAAGAGGCTATAATCTGCAAATAATATCGGTATTTTATAAAAAAGCCATGTTTTTCAAAAAGGTCTGCCCATTTTCCTGTACCAATCATTACATGGTCCGCGATCTCAGCAGCTTAATTCGAAGATATATATGAGTATATAATATGGAAATATGGAAATGAAATAAAACGAAATGAAATTACCTCGTTCGAATTCTCTTTCTATTATTTTTTTAGTAGATTGCGTGACATTATGTGTAGCGCACATTGAAGGGTAAGCGGGTGTAATTATTGGCATCAAGTGAAACCGATCACCATGATATATCTGGATGATATTAATGAGGTTAAAAGTATAATGTAATCGGAATCTCAATTACAAATCATCCTCCAATGTTCTTAGATAGCAACTCATATTTATTGCATGGATAAAGTTAAAAATATCAGGAACAACAAATTGCCGGTGGCTAATATTTCACATATAACCTATAGAAAACTATACCTTTGGATTCCATACTCTGACTTGAAGAGGCCCGTCTTCAATTGGCTTTAACAACACCGGTTGAGGCCATTTCCTATATTATTTATTCTTATTAATTAATATATATTAATGAGATGCGAAGGAAGCGGCATCCAATTTATGCTAACCATTGATGCATAATTCGGAAAAATCGTGAAACGATCGCACCCGCTATAGCATTCGGATATAGTTGACAGATTCGAGCCACCAACATTGCCCATGCAACCCCTCCAAAAAATCCCATTACATTAGAATATATGGCGCGTCCTGAACATTAAATAATTTTTTAAAAAAAATATATGGTGTGAAAATAAACAATCAGATGATCCAAAGAAACATACTCTTTGCCCAAAGTTTTATACACCTTAAAGATGTGCGGAAGGCTGGTATACTTGGAACAAGGCGTAATATTTCATCCGTTACTCGCGACCCTGGAGAATATTAAATGATAACTTTTAGCAAATTATTAGTAATTATTATCATGACCCTAAGAGACTTTAATCACCGTTTAGGCTTCTGATGCATGTCTCATCTAAGTTTTTTAGAAGAGTGTTCTCCCTAAGTTCAAGCTCGTCGGGAACTTTAGGAAGCTCTAATCTTGCAAAGATAAGGTCAATCTATTGATTACGAAGAACAAAATTAAAACATTTAACAGTGTACAGCTCTATAAAAAGTTCATATATGAAATAACTAATTGATTAATTAACTGGAATATCTTGAAATTTTAATTTTATAACAGGAACGTAAGCATCGGTAACACACTACATAAAATTAACATTATTAGTATCATTTACAAAACTTATGTGCATTAATATTAAGGCACTTACAGTTAGTTCGTTTACTTCAGCAAGGTTGCTAAGGGATTTGTGCATATCGGTAAAGAAATCTTCCCGAGTTACATGTCTAGGAACAACACACAGTGTATCAATATCAGTACCTGTAAGTATTCCAAATTTCGGAAATTTCGGTTATTTCAATATAATATTGGGAAAATAAATAAGTCGATATAAATTTGTACCAGCTCCATGAACCCCTAGCCTGTATGAGCCGAAAGTGAAGATCTTCCCCCCAGCTTCTCTGGCATCAGCTTCTGGGAGTTTTTTTTTTTCCCGACTAATATTGTAAACAAATTCTTTTACAAGTTTATCAAGTTTGCCTAAAACGACTTCACTGTACAATAATAGTATTCGTAGTATAATCAGCAATCCTAAATAAGAAATTTAATACTTTGAAACTTTACTAAGAAAAACGCATACCGCCGTTTGCTCTCTTCTTCGCTCTCGAACGTTCCCTGTGCTGTGAGTTCTTGAACCAATAAATCTGTGACTTCAATTTCTCTGGGTGTAGGGTACGCTACTGCAATCGGCGGCGTAACGCCAAGGTGTTTCGGTGGTCTATTAAAATATCCGAGTTAAATTTATGGCATAAGCATGCTTCCGTCTTATTAATTCTAATTCTAATGTCAAATCTAATGATCTATACCCGTTCTGAAGATCCATGAAGTTAAAAGGCGAGAAACAATAATTAAACAATCGAAACTTCAAGAATGTAAATATCTGATATATATATTATACATTACACTCATGTCACTCATATCACGGTGACTATAAAGAATTGCAGATCAGGGGTGCAACCGAATTTTTTGAAAATGGCTTAGCTAAAGGCAAAAATCATGTACGTACGTACGTACGTACGTACTTGGCTCTTTCTATATCACTAATAACTTTTTTTTTTACACAGCGCCAATTATGTATGTTTAATACATAATAAAAAATATAAATATATCCGACGAATAAAAAGTGAAAAAGCTTAAAATTATAAAAATGGCGGTCTGAACCTACCTTGGATGTATTAATAAAATGTCGAGGAGGCTCGAGGTAGGACCGTCCACGTTACACAAGCGATCCAATTGATAAAAAAATTTTTTTTATACGTTTTACAATACTATT